GTGACCATTGTACTTCCCTCACTTTCTTTTAAAGTGAAACATTTCTGTTCTCTCATCTAATTCCTTTTCCATTCTTTCCAGGGGTTCAGGTCTTCTTTGTGTCTGCTGTTCCACATTTTAATTTTCAAATCAACTCAGGGTGTTTTCATAACTAAGACCTTCAGTTGTTCTTGCTGATTGAAATTATAACACTTGAAAATGCAGATGTGTGGGGCTTGCAGCTGGATTCCTCCAGATCTGGTTCCATTGACCCTCCAGCTGTGATGTGGTCACAAAGTTGATTATGGCTGAACTAAATAATGCGTCTGATTCACTTAGAAAAAAAATATCTGATTTTGATGTAAGATGGAAGACAGACAGATGGGGAATCAGGCTCATTTGTAAAGCAAAAAAAAAACAAAAAAAAAAAAACTCCATATGATATATATGAAAAAAGAAACCTAAATTACTTGCATAAAAAGTTATATATGAAACTGGAGGAAACTTTATATGTGTCAGACCAGCTCCAAAACTTTGTCAGTTGGGTGTGTGATCCAAAAGTGGGCCGTGAGCCTCGATAGCTATGTTTCCATCTACTTGGCGCGAATTATTAGATTAGATGAGATTTATTGTCATTGCAGAGTAATCAGTAAAATGAAGTTAATAGTGCAGCTCTACTTAGGGCTTTTATAAACAAACTGAAGTTTGAGTGCAGGTTTAAAATGTTGCAAAAAAGAAATGCGAATTTGGCGTGTTTCTGTCTACTGGTTTGGATGGAATCAACCAGGCAATGCGAGGCATAATTCTGTCAGATGTTACATGTTCCCATGATTAACAGGAAGTAGAGGTTGCAAATGGACTGTACATCTGAGAAAAATGTCAGAGTTGTGCCTGTGGTAAGGCACAGACACACCAGTGGATGGGAGCGTTTGCTACGTCAGAACTTGTTTCCGCTTGAGTGCATTACCTTTTTTTTTTGTTTGTTTTGAAACGCTGAAAACCACCTCAAGCTAATGCACAGAGTCTCTTCTGTGCACTGTCCTAACAGCCTTACCTTTAGGTGGCAGTAAAGTCCTGCTGGGTGCGTTGGCATTCATCGTTTCACACTGTAAAAGAAGACAGTATTTGTTTTCACATGCTAATTGAGCAAGGTGCACCATAGGTCCGACGTATCAAACTCTACTTTCCTGAGAGACAAAGAAATTATGACTGGATATGGAAACCATTTGAAAACAACGTGCAGGGGCCATGTTGCTGAGCAACAAGGACAGCCAGATGGTGGGCTGTCATCAGACCACATGTTGTATGAGATGAACCTGTCTCGGTCCTGATGTACCGTGATACACTCGGGCAGTGAGAAATACTTTGAAACCATGATGTTTGCTTACATTCTTTCACAGTAGTAATACTTGATCTGGAAAAAATATCACCAACTAGATCATTGAACTTAATGAAACTCTTGAGGTTTGTTTTACAAAGCCAGAATATTAAAGGAGCAGTGTCATGTGAAATCCACTTTTTTTTTCTTTACATCATGTTATAATGTTATTCTCTCACCAAAAACTTACCTGGAGTGTTGCTTTGCTTCTTTCATGCTTTAATCTCCATGGCAATCATTCAGCTCTTCAAAACGCCTGGGTGGACTTAGCCCCGCCTTCAAGGTGCAGCTCCTTCTCAGAGCTGCAGTTTCCAGCTTTTGAGCTGTGACCTCACAGAGCAGCCCTCTCCCATGACTCCCCTACTCAGCTCCTTCAGACTAGCTAGCAGCAATTAGCAAACACCTGGTGGAACTGATCATCTGCTGAGCTCATTGTAGGAGTTACTGCTCAGTGAAATGTTGGTAAAAACGTTGCTAAAGGGTTAGTAGAGGAGCCATGTTGCGATGACTTCCTGAAGGCGGAGCTTCAAAAACAGCCAAAGTTTTTAAAGAGACAGAGGCCCAATTTCAAGGCAGTAAATTACAAAGTCAAATTTCTTTTTAGTCATATATCTCACATTTTTAAACACACACAAAATAATATTATTTCAATCTCTTCTGCTGTAAAGTAAATGAACACCCTCCAAGAGTGGTGCTTCCACATTAATTAACTCGCATAAAGTGATTGTGTTGAACAGCCAGGACATTAAGAAAAATGTGTGTTTCCTCTTCATAGAAGACACATTATTCAGTATCTCTGATAATAGGGGGTTGCTGTTTTGTTTTTTTTTGTTTTCCTTCCCCAGTTGAGGCACTCGGCGCTCTTTTCCTCTTCTGTTTTTATTTTTCTTTTTTTTACTGTTGCTGTTATTCAGTTTTTCTAATCTCCATTAACAACAATACTCTTCAGGCTTTTTATTAATATTTTGAATTAAAATCTTATCTTCTTGTTTTAAACACTAAGCAGTCATTTGATTTCTTACACACTTCCACTGTCTTTTTTTTTAATTTACCTCGAGCTTCAATTAGGTGTTATTTAAGACGATAACCTTTGAGTGGATAAGCTGGTTTGATGCCTTCTGTAGCTAATTCGCTCTCTATTATGCATTTGCACAGACCTGGCCCTAGCGCGAGCGCACACAGGGTGGCTCAGTGTGTCGCAGACCGCGTCTCCGGTGTCCAGTGCTGCTGAACAGAAGATTGTTTTGGCCTTTCGGTGATTACCATCTCCTCATTTGGCGAGGCTCTCATGAAACGAGACAGGCTTTCACAGATGATCAGCTTAGAAGATGCACACTCACATGCACAAAGGAGAGTAATTAAATACAAGACAGGATATCTGTCATTAGCGCATGTCAATACTAAGGAGTTTTACTATGGTTACCGTTTTGAAGCACTGCCCTGAAAGCGGCTGTGGTGTCTTGGGTTCAAGCATGTTGTGATTTAAACTGAAGTACATTTTTTATGGTAATTTAAGAAACCAGAAAGAAGTTGAGAGAGTTATTTATGTTAAAATGATGAAATAACTCTTCGAAACACAGAGTGCGGCTTGGGTACCTGTCCAAGTCTCTGACAGACGTCTTGAGATCTCTCGATGTTACTCGAAAATAAGTCTTTTTGCGTCTCCCAGGAACCACCTGCAATAGATGAGGCCCAAATCTGAGGCAGGGTGCCAGCAGGGGAGACGTGTTAATGAATTAATATGCATTGTCCCAATTAGCCTCTGCACTGCAATAATTACGGTGCGCACACGTTTCATATGCTGGAAATCGGGGACATCCCATTGCGCCAAGCCTCGGCTACCCAGAAGGCTTGCGGTGACTTATTTTTACTCCAGATGAGGTCAAACGTTTCCGTTTTATTCTCGCCGCGCGTTAATTAGACGGAATTCGCTTGCAGAAAGAACGGGACGTGTGACAGATGAGCGGACCGATTCCTCCAAACTCACCTCTGGGGGTATTAGAGAGGTTTTTTAGAAAGTGGACCTTGTTTGTGTGCTATATGCGATTACCATAATCAGCTTACGTTTGTGCTCACAGGGCGAGCTAACAAGATTTTTTTTTTCCTCTTTTGTTTTTCTGGATTTTCTGATTATTTGAATAATATTGAGAACATCTGGTAAAGTGCTGCTGAAAAGAGAGGGACAGAACAAGCTAAGATGTCTGGTCAAGCCATCGTTCAATGATTCAGTGAATCAAGTTTATTTGTACTGGACAGTTCAAAGTGCTTTACAGTATGAAAACATAAATACATCATACAGTCAACAACTGTGAAAACCAGTACCAAACATCACATTTTGTCACAAGCCATTGTTAAAATTATCAGTTATGTTGGCCAGTTTTCCATTTATTATCCAAAAGCAACAATGAACAAACACAGAGAGGATTTTTTTCTTTAAACCCTTTAAGGCAGTGGTGTCCATAGTCGGTCCTGGAAGGCCGGCATCCTGCATGTTTTAGTTTTCTCCCTGGTTTAACACACCTGGATCAAATGATGGCTCATTAGAGGCCTAAGAACATTGACAAGCTGAAAAGGTTGTTACTACCACCAGGGACAGAACTAAAACATGCAGGATGCTGGCCCTCGAGGACCAACTTTGGACACCACTGCTTTAAAGGAAACAAGTAATCATATAAATTAATTAAAAGATAATATTTTTTTTTTTAGAAGACCAGTTTTTATTATTTAAAAACTACCCAAAGTAGCGCAAACCTACCAAAACGTAAGCCGACCCACATACACCAGCAGTTTCTTCAACGTTTTGTTTGAAGAAACAAAACACAATTTGCTCCTTCAAACACCAATTCAACAGAAAGTATCAAACAAACAAACGCAGTAAAAAAGCTAGCGTCTGCCATGATGGCTCTCTAGAGCTTTGAGCGGTTAGAAACAGATATGTTGCCTTGGAGCTTTTTAGATGAGAATAAAATCTGAGGCTGAGTAAAATGCCGGGCATGCATTCATCTTGTGGCCAAATGAGGCACAGCTCCAAATGATATCTAATTTTGCCTTTAGCCTGCCAACCGTGCAGCGGAGAGAGCAGAAAGCCACCGGCTCGGCTGCTTCACCCTCGGCCCTCGCCGTTTTCATTTTCAGCCACAGATCACCGCGTGTAAGTGCCCCGAAAACCACACATCATCTTTCTACCAGAGGACCCCTTTAAGTGCTGTGGCCATTTAAAGCCTCCTCTCATCTGCATTATTCAGCAGTGATATTGGTTCTGTATCATTACCTGAGGAGAAATATGACTCTTGTGAAGCGTCGTGTCAGATTTTTATATTGTGACTGTGATTTTATCTAGTCTTTGTCACAGAATAGCTCAAGTGCCATCGAATTAAGATGTGATTATTTATCTATTTGTACCACAGAGTCTGAACTGGATTTCAACCTAGACTTTAACTGGGCCATTCTAACATAAATATCAGTTTCTTAAAGGGGCAGCATCACGTTCAATTGACTTTGTTTTTTGGCTTTACATCATGTTATAATGTTATTCCCTCATCAAAAACATCCCTGGAGTGTTGCTTTGATTCTTTTACGCATGTTTGAGAAATCCTTTAATCTCCATGGCAACCATTCAGCTGAGCAAAATGCCTGGGTGGACTTAGCCCTGCCTTCGAGGACAAAGCTCCTCCTCTGAGCTGCAGCTTCCAAGCTTCTGAGCTTCCATCTCACAGAGCAGCTCTCCTGCCTCCTGCTCAGCTCCTTCAGACTAGCCAGCAGCAATTAGCAAACACCTGGTGAGCTCATTATATGAGCTACATGTCAGTGCAACACTGTTTTTTTTGGCAACTCCAAAAAAAGTTGCTAAAGTGAAGGAGATTCCTTAAAGAGACAGAGGCCCAATTTCAAGGTGTTAAATTACAAAGTAAAAATTCTTTTAAGTTGTATTGGATACAAAAATTCTATTTTTATAACAACTGAAGGTAGCATGGTTACTTAATTATGCTACAAAATGGCACTCTGTGCCATAATAATAAAAAGAATCAAATAAATTGTCAATAAAACACCAAATGTCCTAGAATATCTGACGGGGTTGGAAAGCAAAATGTTAAAAAAGAAATCAGAACCGTAGTTATTTTGAGACGTGCTGTCAATAGGGAGAGATGAAGGCCAGAATGCAGACTGTGGTAGGAGGAGAGGGAGCAGTGAGGGAACCGAGACGTCTCAGTGAGTCAAAGCAAACATGACAGGATGGAGTCTGAGGCTACAACCAGAACGGCTGACTGGCCTTTGACATCTCACACACTTTAATTAAAACAGATTGGTGATGGAGAAAGAAGGGCTAAAGGGGGGCCAAAGGAGGGGACAAGATGCAGCCAAACTAAGAGAAAAGAATTCCAAAATAGATTTTTTTTTTTTATGACCTTAAGCTACTTTACAGACTCTCAGGAAGGAGACAGTAGTACTGAAACACCCCATTCTTGTACGAGTGTGTTTGTTTACATGTCTGAGATTGTTACTATCTCAGCTCCACTCTTCTGTCAGGGAGAAATGTGCGTGTTGGTGTAATTTGGCAGCTGATGCAGACGAAGCGCGGTGTCTAGCTGAGGCTCCTCGCCCCCCGTGGAGCCTTGAAGTGAGGTTGAGACTAGTTCATCACTCTCACAGGATGGGGGTGATTACTCGGAGACTGTATTCTGGGTACTGGATCTAAATATAGCGGCGCGGTTCGGGAGGCGGGGCCCGGCTGCCGGGGCAGGATGGTAATGAAGGCATGCGGTCATTGATTTAGCGGGATTAACATTTATACAGAGGATGGATCGCAGTCAGAGTTAAAAAGAGGAATGCGCCACGGATGAGTAAGTTACAGTTTTCCGTCAACGACTGAGATGTACGATTAAAACTTTACTAGTAAGAAGGCCTGTTTACGAACACCACAGTAATCATACCGAATTAATTGCTATGTGCACATCCAGACAACTCCAGGCCTGGAGGGCCGGACTCCTGCAACTTTTAGATGTGTCTCTACTTCAACACACCTGAGTCAAATAATGAGGTCGTTAGCAGGACTCTGGAGAACCTGACTGCACTAAGGAGGTGATTCAACTATTGGATTCAAGGGTGTTGGACCAGGGAGACATCTAAGAGATGCAGGACATCAGTCCTTGAGGACCAGGATATTGCCCACCCCTGCTATAGTGCAACACTATTCTAGAAATAATTCGTAGCTTTTAGGGTTTCTAATGAGTTATCCATCTCACAATATGAAACTATAACAGATTTTGGGTTGATGAAAGAGAAAAATGTAAAGTAAAGGTTTCATTTGTCACACGGTGTGTTCTGTAAACATAGAACATGGAAAAAACTACAAACCACAAACTACTTCCTGTTGTCTTCTTTGTGGCTTTTGCCATAGTAACATCCTGGTGTTGATCACGACTCGTGCGATGTGAAGACAGTGTCTCCATTACAGTTCTGCGAAATACATCGATTTGGATAGAGTTGAAAAACCACCTCATACCAGTGGGAGAACTTTTTATTGAAAAACATGGTTTGTTTTGTTTTGTTTTGTTTTTTTCCTAATCCGCCATGTTTCCATTAAGCAAATTTATTTTCGTCATTTCAGTTTCAGTAAAGAGGTATCAGTAAACAGGCTGATAGAAACCGTACACTCATAAGCATGATCTGATTATGAGCTACTCTCCCTTTAAAGGGACAGAGCGGCTGCTTTTCCTTACCGCTTAATTTGCTGAGTTTCACTTCCGAGGGACACTTTTGTTTTGTGCTTCAAATCATCTTTCCAAAAAGTGGCTCACCCATCAGTGTGTACTTCCTGTTCTGAGCCTGACAGTTTGTTCCGAGTGCTGATTCCTCGGTGCTGCTGTTTGAAAAACTGTCTCTGCTATGGGAAAAGCAAAAAGCCCTGAGCTGTTGAAATGTTGATGATTTGGCCTGTGCTGTGGTTCAGATCTGCATAATAAGATCGACAAAATAACTTGACAACACCTGCAGGGATACGCTGGCCGGTTTGCCAAGCTGTCCTGCCAAAACATTCTCCCACATGGCTACAATTTGTAGGTCCACTGTTTCTGTGTTCTGGCATTTCATTGTAAATCTTGAGAAGAAGAAAAAAGTAATTCCCTTCATATAATTTGGATGTTAATATGTCAAGCCAGACGCTGTTTGGTGCTACAAAAATCACGTTTTTCTGCAGGTTTACAGAAAAACATGATTTCAGGGATGCTTCTTTCCCTCTTCTATTCCTGTCTTTGTCTTTCCCTTTAAAGCTTTCTCCACCTTTTTCCACTTTCTTTTTTTCTTTTGTTTTTGTCTCTGGTTGTGTTACATTTGAAATAAACCCAAAGAAATTTATAACAAAGTTTCTTATATGCATACATATAATGGAGGATGATGGCAGAAGCTGTAAGGCTCTACTTGTGAATTCATCCGCCATATTTTTGAGGACTGGAAGGTCTTCCAATAACCAATAAACACCAACTATAAAGTCTTTTTAAAAAGCAATCATTAAAAAAAAACTAAAATAAATGAACAATGCTAAGCCTGATGGGGGCACAGGTAAAACCTGGTGGCCCGCCAAGCTTATAATACACCGAGGGAAACCCTGTGATGGCAGGTTTTGACGCATCCCTGGGCCAGTAGCTCGATGTGGTTGCCAAAACAATACTACAACTTCATAATTTTCAAATATTTGAGTAGTTTATATTTATAAACATCACAAAGTGTTACTACAACTCACCTACATATGAGTCAATGACTCTTATGTGCAGTGTAATGTCTGCAAAACAAAACAAAATGATAAAAAAAATATATATCAAAATGGAAACATTTGTGGAGCTCCTTGAGAAATTGAAGTGTTTAGTAGCCAGTATCCCTGGGTGCTGCCCCTGTCAGCTCTTTTAAAGTCTGGCCCAGGTGATGAGGTTATATAAGTATGAGTAGTTTTGCAAGGCAATGTGTTTGTTTCATTTTAAAATCTTCTTTCAGTTTGTTGGGTAGTGGATTAAAAATACCACATGATTTATGTCACCTTTACTCCAGGAGAATCTTTCAGCTGTGGCTAAAACAAAAACAACTAAATAAACAGCCAACAGCAACGCTGAAGCGTGTGGAACAAACACAGTTCTACGCAGCGATAAGTGAGATGACATTTCACTGGCTGGAGACGCAGCTGACAGGCGTTTGTTTTCAATTACCGACAGGACGGCTCTTTTAAAACAGCTCTGACGGCCAATCAGCGATTATCAGCAGGCAGCTGAGAGAAGTGCTCTGCTTTTTGAAGAGCAGTTGGGGGCGAGGTAAAAAAAAAAAAAAAAAAATCTCAGCTGAGTGAGTTTTTCCCACCGAGGTTTATGTGGTCCGTTGCTACTGTGCTGCCGCAGCTGAGGGCGGGGGAAGCTGGACGGTCCGGGTTTGTTGCCGGGTGGCCATCGAGCAACATGTCTGGTATGTTCTCCTCTGGGGCCGTCGGTGTGTCTTGTTGGAGTGAAGCTCTGCAGACTGCCTCTGCAACAGCTCCGCACGACACTCTGACTGTCGAAGGAGGTTTTTGTCATCGCCACAAGTTTGCTTTTTGTTTCACTACATAGATTTTCAACTTTAATCACTTGTAGTCATCAAAGTTGGCCTATAGGAAGTATTTTTCACTTCCTGTTGTCAAAAATACATAAAGGAAGTGTTTTTTGTTCTATTATTGTTAACATCGGGGAAATTTTACCCATGCGTACAATGCCCGAGAGCAAAAAGATGATTCTTTTATGAATCAAACTTGGATAATTTAGTGCAGTGTGACACAGCTGAGGTAAAAATAACAGAAACCCTGTTGAACAACTCAAAACCACTCTTCTCCTTTTTTGACGCTCTCTGTTTCGGCTATGCTACATGCTGACCCGTTGCCATAGCAACTGACAACAGCTCCACGAGGATTAAACACCAAAAAATATGCAAAGAACAAAACATTCAGTCAGTTACGGTATTATGTTTTCAGGCATGGTGTTTATTTTGTAATTATTGATAATGGTCTGAACACAGCGGTGGTGGATTAGCTAATTTAAACACCTGCTCTATTGATAATCTGTCAGAGAGTTGGCGTGTGGGTCGCCATTTTGTTTTTAAACTGAGCCGAAACGCACTGAATTCTGCAGATCATCTATATGTTAAGGTTGTCAAAGTCAAGCTAGCACAGCTACTTCCCTCTCCCCCGCTAGTTTTGTTTTTAAATTAAAACTTTTTCCTGACCTTATCTAGTTGTCATAGTGTTGACAATTAGTTGCAAAGCACAGAGTTCCTCTTTCTTTTACATAGCACCTGTATGTTTATGATTTAGCATGTTACGTTGACAACAATGGTGACTGGCAGGTTTTTGGGGGGTCAGGATCTTGCGCGTTTGACGTCACATTACATCGTGTCTATAAACAGTCATTGGAATGTAATGTTGTTTTGCTCACACTAAGGCAAAAAACTGACAGTAAAGAGAAAATTTCTGCAATATAAATGTAAAACACTGTTTTGATATGAAGCTCTTTGTTGTGTGTGCCCAGATAATATCTTTCCAGTCAGTCTGCCAAGATTTTGATTTCCTCTCCTTCGAATATACGTGGAGCAAAACAAGGAGAGATGTCAATAAAGAAAAGTCTTCAACCCGAAGACATTAAGCAAAACGGGCAGGAAAGACAAAAAAAAAAGGATAGCTTTTGTTCTTGTTTTTAAGTGGGGTTTATTTTTTATCTATTCTAGTTCTTTTTCTCGTCTAATTCTGACTTGCTCCCATTTTATGTTCCCACACTGAACAAATATATAATTGTGGCGACCACCACTGTTAGATTAATTTCTGTATTTGCAAAACTGAATTATTGAACAGTGCGTCGACTCAGTCGTGTGTTTAGTTTTCCACCGTTGAACTGAAATTGTCGTGGTCTTTGGCTGCCGACGGCAGCCTCTCGTTACTGTTTGCCTTCATTCTGTCAGCACAGTTTTGCTTTCAAAGCCTGACTGACTCCATTCCTGTTGCCTTTCAGCTGCTCTCTGTTAGTCATTGTCTCCATGTGTACGACAACCGGCTGCTTGTCTGGCCACCTTGCCAGATTATTGTCTCACTCCGGCTCGCCGTGCTGCCAGTCTATTGGATTCATGTGGTGTATTTCTTACACTGCCTGCCAGTTCCTGGCTGGAGCACGTTGGGATTGTTTTGCAATTATGTTTTTCGGTTCGTCATTTTACTTTTCTTACCTGCCTGTCAGGTAAGGGCTGCCTGCATTTGGTGCTCTCCCACAGGCGATACAAGAATAATAATATAGACCAGGCACATTTTATTTAATATGCTGGTGAAATTAATCTCCCCCTTTTAGACTTTTCCACATTTTGCCATGTTTCAAGCACAGACTGAATATATATTTGATTTGGGTTTCATATGAAAGACTAACTCGGAGGTTTGTTACAGAACAGTGAACATCATGAAGACCAAGGAGAACATCGGAATCGTCACACATGAAGACGTTTGCGGTAGGTTGGCACTATAATCTTTCACAGCAGCAGAGAGAACAGACTTTCATCACTTTTACCGTCAGTCTTTGCTTGAAGGAGCAGTATTATGTAAAATCGACTATTTTTGAGCTTTACACCATGCTGTAATGGTATCCCCTCCTCAAAAACAAACCTGGAGTGTTGCGTTGATTCTTTCGTGGAAGTTTGAGAAATCCTTTAATTTCCCATGGCAACCATTCAGCTGTCCAAAATGCCTGGGTAGATGTAGCTCTGCCTTCAAGGACCAGTCTCCTCCTCTGAGCTGCAGTTTCCAAGCTTCCAAACTTTTGCCTCACAGAGCACTCGGCTCCTTCACACTAGCCAGCAGCAATTAGCAAACACCTGGAGGAACTGCACATCTGCTGAGCTCTTTATGCTAGCTACTTCTCAGTTCAATGTTGGTGAAAACGTTGTTAGAGGGTGAATGTGTGATGACTTCCTGAATGCTTAGATTCAGAAGCATCAGGAGCTTCTTAAAGAGACAGACGCCCAATTTCAAGGCGTTAAATCAGGAAATAAACTTTTCTTTTCTGTCATATTTGATATATGGAGCATTTTTATAGCAACTGAAGTTAACATCGTTACTTGATTGTGCTATAAAATGGCTCTGTGTGTCCGGAAAACACAAAATACTAAACATTTAAACACGTAGCAGGTAAAATCTACCTTCTGAGATTCATGTGGAAACGTCAAAGTTTCAAAGAAAACATGGCCGCTCACTTAAAGCCCCGGTTATTAGACGTGAACTGTCGCACCACACGAGACCTCTCCTATATTGTGTTTCGGCGTTCACTTTCCAGAGTAGGTTTAACTGGAGAAAACCCCTGCAGATCAATGTGTTTACTGTATTGGTCCCTGAGCAGTGATTACCAAAGTGTTCAGCCACCCGGATAGAGAGATCAAACATCAACATGGATTCCTTTTCTTGCCAGAAGAGGAGTTCGATACCAAAGGCTCAGGGCACGTGACACTTTAATAACGACGCTTAGTCAACTCTTGTTTGAGGTCTCTAACGGAAAAGTTAGAGAAGATGATCAGAAAGGTTTGTTCACCTTAAAAAAATGAAGTTTTTCCCCCTCTAATGTTAACTTGTCCACTTGTTTCCTTCCGCATTCAGTCGGTGTAGGTTGGAGCTACCTCTAGAGTAGCTTGTTGTTTCTGCCTTTGTTGACCAGACTCACTGAAACAGCACAACAACAATCTCCTGGCAGTAATTAACAACCAACTAGCTGCTGAATGCTCCACTCTACTTCCACTTTCTGCACCAGCTGATCTCTGTGGCCGCCTGCCTGCGTGCGGTCAGATGGCGGGCAGGTGGAGAGCAGAAAACAGCCGCCTTCTGGAGGGGCAACACAATGCAATGATAGCTGTGAAAGTTTCAAAGGCTGCAGAAAACTTAACAATCGGCTTCCTTCAGAGGAGTAAACTTGTGACGTAAAATCAATGTAGTTTTGTTGAGCGCAATTCAACTCGGCCACTAGAATGTTCCCTTTTTTTAGTACTAAATGACATGAGATCTTCACTGTCATTTGTTGATGAAATAAAAAACCCAGACTGGACCAGAAGACATAAAGAAAATGTTAGCACTTATTAGCTTGTGTGGCTCTACTTGCTATTTGTGTTAGCCGTAGCTTTCAATAAACAGTGCGGACGCACTATTTGTCGGTGATTTTTAACAATCACAATTTTTTTTTATGTGCGCAAGCTGCAAAGCTCTTCTTCTTTTTTTTATCATTTTACAATAACTTTAATAATAAAAGACTTAGCCTGTGGAGCTACCATCATACCCTGTTTGGTTTACAGTGTACTCTCCGTATGACTCTCTCCCTGGAGAGGTTAGCTGGAATGCTAGCTACTTTTTTTTAGTATATATTTATTTTCTTTTATTATTTATTTATTTATTACTATTTTATTGTAATTTTAGGTGTTATTTGTTCCTCAAAACATTCACATTAAAATTAATGTTGCATAAATATTTTTATTCTCAACATAATTGCATCCTGGTACATGTAAACACTTTGAATGCAAAAATATCAATAAAAATATCAGAGACGTGACGCGGCACACAAAAGAAAATCCAGAAGACACACACATTGTGGTAAAACCTGAGCCCCAGTTCAGTCATGCAGACCATTTCCACCTCAGCCCTCACACACACACACACACACACACACACACACACACTCAGCTCTTGGCTTATTGAGGTCAGACTGTGTGTGTGTGTGTGTGTGTGTGTGTGTGTGTGTGTGTGTGTGTGTGTGTGTGTGTGCGTGCACACTCACAGCACGGACCCATGGCTCTGCTCGTTTGCGGCGCGTGTCGGCATGCGACCGCCGGTCCATCAGTCATGATTGGATCCCTGCTCCGCTGCGGGCCAGAGCCTTCATTTCCAGGTGACCCTCTGGGAAGAATCATGGCAGTGATGGAGTGAGGGGTGCTCAACGATATGCGTGTGTGTGTGTGTGACAAAATGAAAGACTGCTCACTGAAGTGGTCATTGTTGCGGGTGGCAACATCTGCTCATCTGGAATAAACCCAGTCAACCCCATCAGATGGCCCTGGTTTGATTCCAAAATGAGCTTTTTCAAAAAAAAAAAAAAATGTTTTTACATTATTTTAATTTTATAGTGGCTCTCAAAAATCTATATGCCGCTGTTTTTCTCTACAGATTTTTGTGATGTAAAATATTTTTGATTATAATATTTTAAAGATATATCCCTGTGGATTCAACTAAAAAAATACACAAAAAATAATAAAAAGCTGTTGTCAACAGGTTCTAAGCCCCACCCACCAAGTCTCTCCATCACCCATCCCGCCTGCTGCGTTTCCATCATGAATGTTGACAAAACTTTGTAGATATTCTGCTAACATTTCAGTAACACATTTTTACAATTGCAGTGTTTCGGTTAAATAAGAGACACAATTAAAATGACACTTGAACAAGTTTGTTTACAGGACAGGTCATTGGAAAATATGCCCCGCCCTCATCCTGCTTCCTGTTGTCATCTTTGTCATTTCCGTCGGTAGCGACGTCCGGTTGTTGATCATATGAATTGTGTGACGGGAAATTATAGTTTTGTAAAATGCACCAATTTCTGTTCAGTCGAAGCATTTTTGTTTTGTTAGAATTGGTGTGTTTCCATTAGGTGATTCTCGTAATTGTGTAGTTTTACAGTTAATTGAAAGCAGCTACTTTGTCTGTTGGCATGTGGACTGAGTTGGAATTTTCCAGGACAGTTCTTATTCCTTAAAGGTTGTTGCCTTTAAAGCAGAAACCCTGCTTAGCGTTTTTAGCTGAAAACATCCTTCAATTCAATTTAAACACTCAGTTCTTTGGCAATTTTTTTCAGTAGGAGTCAATCAACACTCCACATCTTGACTTGGTAACATTTGCTCGCAAAAGATCTCCAAGTTGATCAGATTGCTAGAACATTTCTTCACATATAAAAAACATTATTCAAATCTGCTGCTCTTGAGTTGCCTCAGCAAAACATGTTAGTAGGTTTTTTTTTTTCTCAATATTTTCTCTATTGACTTATTTTTGAATTTCACTTTAATTGCACTATGTAAAAAAAAAAAACTTATCAAAGTGTTTTACATTACAAAAGAAGGCATATAATAAAATTGTGAAACCTGTTTTTTTATTGCAATATTACTGGAAATGCTTCTATTTACATAGTTTTGTATAGTATAGCATCTCTGCAATCACCAGCTGCTCACAGTGACTCATTCTACCGTGTGTGTGTGTGTTTGTGTGTGTGTGTCAGTCATCTTACAGTTTTAGAGAAACAAATGACATTCACTGTAATTGTAAGATGAGAAGAGCATCCACTAATGGGCCTGGTTAGAGGTTACGTTTTGTTGTATTACTGAGAGTTTTATTGTGTTTACATCCAGAATTAAAGGCTAAGAGTCCCTGCCACATTCTCACAATCCACTCATTCCAATCTCTACGTTTCTTTGCATTCCATATGGGAATTTCTTTTTTTCTCTCTCTTTTTGGTGTTACCTCAGGATCAGCACATACACGCACACAAAAATGCAGCTACTTCCTCTCGTTTGAATTCTTGCACCCTTGACAACACGAACATCACTGAAACATGAAGTGTGAGTCAGATTCAACTGTGTTTATGTCTGAATGGAACATCAAATCTGGAACCAAAGGAAACCCGTTCCTCCATCGTGACAGGAATCCTTCATCCTGATGACTCTTTAATTGGCTTTGTAGCGATAATTAACAAAAAATTCAGACAAGTTCAACAACTGAACTTTTTGTTGATAAGTAAAGCAGGAGAAGTTGCCAAAAGCTTTCAGATAACAAGCAGCCATGTTTTGACTGGTGTCTCTTGTCTTGCAGTGGGGAGATTTGTTTCAGCACACTCAGGCTGTAGTTCTTCCAAAAATAAACACAGTTTCAAACATCCAAAGAGATCTTCTGCATAAAAGGTAAAAGGCTATAGCAAAGCTTATTTTCATGGAAAATTGAGATTTTGAAGTCTTACATTATGTATATAAATTAACAAATCGGGAGATAAATGTGACCCCAGTTTAAACCTGAGAAGAAGACCCTACCAAAGGGGTGGAACAACAGTGGGAGGGTGTGTGTGTGTGTGTGTGAGAGACTGTGTGCATGTGACCGACTGTGCCTTGTTGGTCAAACAGGAAATCCATTATATCAGCCTGCACAGATCAAGTCGCACACAGACACAGATTAATGTGGCTAATGTGTGCACATTAGGGCCATTACTGGAAATGTTATCGTTTTCATCCGCGGCAGCTCCAGCTGCCTTGCGCCCGGGCTGCTGCGACGCCTAGTTTTGAAAAATCCAGAGTGCTTTAAATCATCCGAGGGCGGCCGAGCCTTTCCAGCAGAACCGCAGCAAAAAAACAAAAAAACAAAAACATAAACAAAAAAACCCAATTTCAGCGACGGCGGTAAGGAAGGAGAGAGAGAGAGGCGGCGCTGCCCAAAACTCACTCTGATGGTGAAAAGCGAAAGCATCTAATTGGCTTGAGTTGCACACCGACGTGAGAGTAGACAACACCAGATGGTATGTTTCTCTTTTCTTTTTTTTCTCAGTTAAAAGGTGTTAATTGACTCCATGCTGATTGGAGTTGTCTGTCACTTTTTTTTATTTAGAACCTCAAACATGCCATCAAAGTTACAACACAAAATACTAGATTGTTTTTTTATTTTTCTATTTTATTATCTCAGGTTTTCAAGCCAAGAGTCTTCACTTCACATGAAGCAGAAGCATCTGTTCCTTCTGCTGAGACGACCGTCACAAACAGGAGCTATGATAAGAAGATTAAAAATGTTTTCAGAATCAAATCTCTGGTCATTGATTAACACATATAAAACACAATGAATACCATATTTTATTTCAGCTTTGTAAAATATTTTTAAAAAGTTGCACAGTTATTGTCATGGTTGATTCCTGAGGGGAAAAAAAGATTTAGGAACTGTGAAGGAAATGGCAGATCCTGTCTCGGCTTCCTAGCTTGTTTCTGTTGGGCAGACTGCTCTCTCAAGTGATTGTAAAGAGCCTGTCTGTGGTCTGATGTCACAGACTTTACCACAGAAACTAGTGTTCAAATAATAACTAGTATAAAAACTGAGGTGCGTTCAGAAGCCAGTCCTCACCGGCTCAATAGAAGAACCAGAACTGAGAAGAAAAATGCTTTGACTTCAATCTGCAGCTCTCTGCTGAGACTGAAAAGCTCGTCACATGTTCTATTCCTTTTGATTTTCTTTTTATTATTGCTCGGATGGGCTGCACAGACTGAGATGGAAAACAACAGACAGAGTCAGTTGGTTCCTACAGTCCAAATCTAAAGTATCAACCTACTGCACTGATTCTGCTTCCAGCTGCTGATTTGTGTGTTAAATGGCGAAGGGAAAGAAACCAGGCAAGTGATCTGGTGTAGATGAACGTTTGGATATTCAAATGAATTCCTCTGATTGCAGAACTTGTCATATGTGACTGCAGTCTGTGTTTATCAAATGAATGAAATGTCACAGTCATTTCCTGTTGTGCTGCATCTTATAACCTACACTCTAAAGAGTGTTGAGTTAAAACTGATGCAATTTGTGTTGGTTTGCTAATAATATTTTGCTATTTTGACTCACTGAATCGTGTATGGTGTCCATCAGGGGTCAGCCCTCGGTCCCACTCGGTTTACCCTGTACGTTCTCCCTATTGAGATCATAATAAATCACTACAGGACTTCCTTTCACTGCTATGCAGATGACATTCAAGACTCCATCTTGCCATTGACTCATCATCCTCACTCTTCAATCTCACCACTTGTCTTGAGGAGGTAAAAACCTGGATGAACGCCAATCTTCTTGAATTAAACCCCTCAAAAACAGAACCTTCCACATCAGACCCACTCATCATTTTCCACCATGACGTTCTCTGACCACAGCATTCCCCCTTTTCCTCCACGGTCATAAGTCTTGGTGTAAGATTGTGTTCTCCTCTCAGATTTGAAACTTATATTAAATACTTCTGCCAGGCCTCCCTCTTCCATCTCAAGAACATCTCTAAATTCTGTCCATCACGTTCCTTTTCAGATGTTGGTCAGTTTGGCCAGAATAATTTAATAAATAAAATCAGCATGTGAGAACAAATCTTTGTATTTTTTCAGGTTAACTTTGTTGGAAAATTTAAATCTGTTTGACTGTCTGAAACATTTAAGTCCAATTAAATAAGCAAAATAAAAATAAAAGATCTGGAAAAGAAAAAATGCTTGTTCATGGTACTGTTAGCATTAGCTTACACTTATTTAGCAGGTAACACACCACTTCCATCTTAAGTGAGGACACTTTAATCTGAATTCGTTAACAACCCGTTGACTTTGTTACACATAATTTTAGCATTTTCTCCTTTCATCCGGTGAATGAGGCTCAGAACAGTTTTATCAAACCACTGGATAAAAACATCCGTCTGTTCCATCTAGTCTCACCTATCACTCTTGGTCAGTCTTTTTTACCCATTGTTTGGTTGAAATGACCTAATATCAGTTCAAACCACATAAACCCAATAATAACCCATCACCTTCCCTGGTTTTGGCAGATACTTTCTGTACCTCTGTGATTCTATTGTGTTCAACATGTAACAATTTGACAAATGAATTTAATTAAAAAGTTGGCAATACACAGTTGATGTGCTGCTGAAATCCAAGCACTGCTTGTTGAAACTGGTTATAATTCAGTTTCCTTTGTTCACGTCGGACGAAACAAAAGCTTTGCATCAAAATGCCAAATCTTAAGTGCCATTATGATGCTTTTTCTTTCCTTCTGTTAAATGTGGTGCTCTGCCCTTTGTTGTGTGGACCGTTTTGAATTTTGAAAAATAGTTTGACATTTTCAGTGGATATATTTTTCTGCCTTTCTTTTTTCACGCAAAGTTATTTGGTTTGAACCCGGACCAGCGAGTCCATTTGCTTACAGGGAGAATCAGAGAAAAACAGGGAATTAAGTGAACAATTGTGTTGACTGTTTAAATCAGAGGAGGGAAACTTCAGGTTTCCACCAAGATGCACACAAAAATCCTTTGTTAGTTTGACTTTATTTGCCATTTTTTTAACAATAAAAATTGCTTATATGTAGTGATTGTTCCTTTGGGTATGTGAATGTGCATTTGATTGATGGGTGGTGTGCAGAAAATGTCTTGAAATGAAAACTATTTTTATTTCAAAATGTCTAGTCCAAAAGTCCTCCTCATTGCAGTTTCACTGACCAAAGATTTTTAGTTGAAAAACCTTGGATTTTAACCGTTTTTTCCAAAACAATGTTAAGAGTACAGCAAAACATTTAGAGCAGGTTGTTGGAACCGACGACGGTGTAACATAGAACAGAGATGTATTCATATAAAGTTACTTAAAACATTAACATTTACATACATTTATTTAGCTTGATATAAGATTTCATCGACTTCTTGGAATACCAGCCCACAGAATGATTCTTTATAGGAGGATATGAGATACAGAACCTGGTGGCAGCCTTTTGCAGTACTGCTGCCAACACTACGTGCCAACATTCAGCCCATCTACCTCAACCATGACAGTGATTTTTTTAGTCACATGCTGGTTATTTTGTCGAGTATAAGGCCAAAGGCATGACAGTGGCAGTCATATCAAACACGGCTCCATCCTGACTCTGCTGGTTCTGAAAAGGTCAGCTCATAATTCCTGCCACGTCCGTTCTATTTTTGGAGCTTGGTGTCATTTGCCACCAAGTGGTTGGTGTTCTAGAAAGTTTTAGGGCGAGGGTGCTGAGCTTATATTAAAAATAAAAAAATAAATAAAAAAAACTTTTCCAAGATTTCATACTCTTTAAATAAAAGCTGCTGAGAAGCCAGTGGCAGCGCTGACCTGTAGCTGTTCTGTTTTCAGGTTACCTTCACTAGAACAACTCTGGTCTAATGGAGTCTGGAGAGAAAGTAAAACATGATTCCAGTCGTCAGCAGCCCATTGCCTTAATGCAGTGGTTCTTAACCTTTTTTAAGGTACCGAACCCACCAGTTTCATACGCGCGTTCACCGAACCCTTCTTATTCCTCTAGCCCCCCTTCCCCCTCCCGACACACAAAATACTTTGCAGTATTCTGATTTAGTAATGTAATTATATTAGCTGTGTTACCACCCCCACGCCACTAGAGGCAGTACCAACCCAGAGAAGATGCGACTAAGGAGCAGATTTAGACTATAGAATTTGGTAAAACTGTGAGCTTTGCTGAAGTAATTAAAGGTAAAAGTTCAAATCCATGCTGAGAGTGGAACGCCTTCAATCAGTGCTCCTCCACAGCATCTTTTTTAAGGTGCTGTGGAGGAAGTGCCATCACTTCCTCTGCAGCAAGTGATGGCAAAGCGGGGCGTCATCACGACTTTACACAGTGTGTCTTTACCTCCGCAGCAGAGGCTCCACCGAACCCCTGAGACCGACTCATCGAACCCCTGGGGTTCGATCGAACCCAGGTTAAGAACCACTGCCTTAATGGGAATGGAGTTTCCCCACAGTGGTGGTCGAGATAACCTAATCTGAGACTGAGTCCAAACCAGTGACAGGCCATTTTTAAAACCAGCGGTGCAATCACAATAATGTAGAGAAGCAAAGTTTTTAAAGCTAAAAGTATGATTGCATTGAATGCAGACAGGGATTTCACATTGTAGATGCTTTATATTCTTCCATAGCGTGCAGAGTTCACACTGGTTAAAGCAGATTTCTGTTCACACACTTAACAACTGCATCCACTGCAAAAACACAAAATCTTACCAAGTATTTTTTTTTTGTTTAGTTTCTAGTGCAAAATTCTTGTTACACTTGAAATAAGACAAAGCCTACAAATAACTTGTCAGCAAGACCTCGGAGCTGGTTTTCAGTCAATAAGTCCTTAATATTGATGAAAAAGTTTTTTGTAGAGTGCACTGAGGAATCACTGACTACATCATGTTTATCCAACTCAAGGCCCAGATTTGGCCCGCCGTGTCCGAACTGCGGCTCTGTAGACTCTATAGAGGCTCAAAGACGGAACTGTAATGTAACAGTTGCGAGTTTAAACTTTATTTTATTAGTCAAATCAAATTAGCTTTTATTTATATAGTGCCAAATTACATCAATGTGAAAATATTTAAAAAATTACTTAACTTTAAGAGGTACTCATTGAGTGCAGAAAAGGCTGTAATTTTTTTTTTTTTAGCAGTTTGTTAATGTGTATTTTTATCAGTGAATTCTGCCACAGCTGGCCCTTTAAATGAAGGATTTCCCAACCAGTTATTAGGTTTAAGAGGAAATCACTTTTTCTCACTGGTTACTTTTAGGTTTGAATTTTTTTTTCTACATTATCAACACCATTTCAAAAAGACATTTTGTGTTTACAAGTGTTGACTTTGACTAAGATTTAAATTGGTTTGATATCTTGATATTCTGAGACACTGAAGAGTGACAAACATCCAAAGAATAGGAAATCAGAAGCCTGCAAACCCTTTTACAACCCACTATAGTCAGTAGAACGGTCAGTTAAGCTTAGACCTTTATATCACTGGTGTTAAATAACAAACTGATCACTGTTATTGCTGCTGTTGGCTGGTGGGCCTCACAGGAAGTGGGACCCGATTTAAATTCTGTTCAGGGCCACCGTACCTGTGCAATCTTGCTCCGACTCTGTTATTTATGAAACTGACTGAAATCCAAAACAGTGCTGATGGTCACACTTTAGAGCTATGAATATTTGAGTATTGGAAGAAAAATAAACTTCAGACCTCATGTGAACCCCAGTTCCTTTAGACTGCAGTTCTACCTATTGGGAACTGAAAGGGCAGAAAAGTGAACTGGAACATGTCAGACATGCTGTCGGTCAAAAACTGGCCTCCTACCGCTTCGTCCTTGGGAGACTGACCCGTCCTCCACCAGGCCACTGTGAGTCACTCGTCTTTTCCCTCCATGGGTGGTGCTCTGCTTTGTTAGCTAGCAGAAGGAAAACAACAGTCTTTGCATCTGCTTTCCTCTCCATCTGTCCCAACTGTTCTCTCTCATCTTTATTTTCCACTTCTCTCTCGCTCTCTTAAAGTTGTTCATTATTGTTATTCATCCCTGATAGAGACTGACTGAACTCAAGCTCCCCACTCTAGGTCACATCTGGCTGCAAGACAGCTTACATTTGGGCTTATGGTCTATTATGTTCCACATCTGGCCACCCAGTGGAACAACATAAAAAAATAAAACAGCCTGATCATTTCTCCAGCTAACATATTGTTCCAAATGCATTAAAGGGCCAGTGGTATGTGTTTTCCAGGCACATATAGTGCTATTTTGTAGCACAATGAGGAGACGGTGTTAACTTAAGTTGTTTTGAAAAAATGCTATACATATCAAATGTCACTTAAAATTAATTTAACACCTTGAAATTTGGCACGTCTCTTTAAAAACTCCTGCTCTTTCTGAAACTCCACCTTCAGAAAGCCATCACAACATGACTCCTCGATTTACCGTTTAACAACATTTTTATAAGAGAAGTAGCTCTTATAATGAACTCAGCAGATGTCCAGTTCCATCAGGTGTTTGCTAATTGCTGCTGGCTAGTCTGAAGGAGCTGTTTGAGTTCTGCTCTGTGAGGCAGAAGCTCAGAAACTTGGAAAATGCAGCTCCAAGGCTGAGCTTCATCCTTGAAGGCGGAGCTAGGTCCATCCAGGCGTTTTGCATAGCTGGATAGTTGCTATGGGAGATTAAATGATTTCTCAAGCACGCAGGAAAAAATCAAAGCAACACTCCAAGTATGTTTTTGATGAGGGAATAGCATTTCAACATGATGTAAAGCAAAACAAAAAAAAAGTCAATTTTACACTATACTGCCTCTTCAACATTCTTCCCATCATGACTTAAAGCTGTCCGTTTTCAGCACCGCTGAGCTGCTCCGATTGAAATCCACTCCCCAGCAGTTTCTCCTCCGTCTTCACACAGGCACCGTTCAGCAGTTCTCAACTAACTGAAGTATGGACGGATGTCAGGCTGTGATTTCTGTCCCCAGGCGTACTCAATCTGGCACGGCAGAGCACTTAAGCTATCCATTTTCCCACTTTTTCCCAGTTCACGCCGGTAGCTATTGCCTGTTTGTAGACGCTCCTGGCAGGCTGATCATGTGTGGCTCTGTGAACTCTGCATAGGCGCTGCAGAGCTGGCCGTATCTCATCTGTCTGCTGCTGCAGCAGGTTAGCGGCGACGTCATGAAGCTGCTATTTTCAGTCCATGAAAACATCCACATCAGTGTCAGTACATTAACCCTCAGTGACCGGGACCTGGGGCACCGCTGGCAGAATGGAGCCAGGAGTATTTATTATGTTTGCCATCATATTTATCATAGAAATGTGTGTTTAAGAGGTGATAATTCTAAGGAAGGGCATATTTAATAGAAATGAGTCAATCGAGGATAGAGTAAATACACAGTAAACAGATAAGTGTCAAAATATGTCTCAACACATGACGTTCTAATCCGTTTACTCGATGAAGCGTGGATTTTCGTCCGCTCATTTTTCTTGTCCAGTGAGTTGTAGATGGTGCAGCATTCAGTTCTTTGTCGTTCCAATGCTGCCACTGCATGGCGAACTGAAGAACTGCAGGCGCTTTTCTAACTACTTCCTTTGCACATCTTTCCCAATGGAAATCATTAAGTCTATTCAGGAAGACGGCTTGAAAAAATTAGACCAACACATACATTCTTGAGGTTTTTACAGTGCTTTGCATTCATAACACTTTTAACTTTTTCAGATTTTTATAAGTTGAAACCATAAAATTTAAGGGAGTTTTTATGTAATGGTTCAAAATATAATTTTAAATGTCTGCAAGTGAAAATATGAAGGGTGTGATATGTTAATACTGTTAAAAACATGTATAAATTCACTGAATTTTTTTCTTACTAGGACATTATTAATAGTTTTAATTGCTACTTATCAGAATAATTATGAGATTTATAATCTAGAGCATTTAGCCCCATTGCTTTTAGTCTTAAACACAACTCTGTTCATCAACTCTTGGATCAACACAGTTGAAATGAACGACTCATTGCCAAGCCTCTGCTGTGCTGAATCAGTAAATGCTGATGAGGGAATCCGGTCATTTGATTCAGGGTTGTTCACAGGTCAGTTCCACATGTGGTCATGTAAACGGTGATGTTGAAGGACAGAACATTGCTTCTGCCAATGGCAATGAAATGCATTTTCAAAATTTATTGAAATGCAACAATATACAAGTAAGATCTTTGCACATTTGGAAAAACAAACATTTAAGTGCTTTGATGCCCATTTAATGCTACAGGAAGTTTTATCGCTTTTATACCGAGCTACGTTCAGAGGGAAAGATTAGCGAGACGCTTCCCATTTACCATGGAAGTCAGAGGTCAGATCTCAGAATGCCGCTACGCTCAGGTTAGCTGTGTTCTAGTTGGACAGTGGAAAACCAGCAGGTCATGCTAGTTGTTTTGCTCTTACTTGCACAGGAACTAAGAAAGCTACTAATATATAGCTAAACTTTAATTACAAACAGATTTTTAAGGTGAAAACCTTTGAATGTCCCAATTTCAAAGTTAATTTTCTTAATTATGAAACTCAAACTCTGACTTCCAGCAGCAAATGAAACCATTATCCTGTCTGTGTAGCGTGAGTATTAGAGCTGATTACACATTGACAAACAGCTTTGCTCAAGTAATTCAGCCTAATCATGATAACAGTGCTATTTATCTTCAGTTGTGTCTTAGCCCTAGCTTGGCTTTAGACATGAAAAGAGGATGCTAGCTTGGTAAGCGATACCATGCTAATTATTGGATTGTGTTTACTTTTGCTTAGAAATGATACAACAAGATTTAAAGTCTGGGTGGGAAACGTTTGTGCATTGATTGAAACTAAAGGCACTCAGAAAAAAAAAGAAACTTTTTGGAAAATCTTGACATTCTTAAGGATGTTAGCGGTCTGTAGCGGAGGCTAAAGCTATACCAACAAATTACCTTTTTTCTAAGTAAGCTAGCTCAAAAATTCGGCAGCATTGTACGGCCCTTTTGCACTAGCACCTAGCAACGCAGCTCAGCTTGGCTAAACTCTACACAGTTCACCTGTAGAGGGTGGTCGTTATTCAGTCCCAGAGACTGAATGTGATCTGTGCCGAAGAAAAACTCAACAGTGGAAACTGTTGAACATTTCTGCTATGTCTGCCATTGTCCTTAAAACTCCAAATACACTCAGTTGATGTTTTGAGTTTTCACAAAACAGCAATGTTGGCAGGAATATTGTATGGGAGTCACAATCAGTGACTCTACCCCCTAGTCATTAGAACAAGTGACATTGTTCTAACGTTGCGACTCCGCACTCTTCCAATCCCACGTAAACATTAGTCGTGGAAAATCTGGCAGAACCAGATTTTCCATGACTAAATCTGGTTTAGTCGTGGAACCGTGCTAAGTGCATACTAGTGGAAAAGGGCCAATAATGTACATTTTCAGAGAAATACATTCCATCATATCAGTGCTTTCCGTGAAGATTCACAGCCTTCAAACATCTTCACATTTTGTGACATCACAACCACAAACAAAGGGGGGGGGGGGCAAAAAAATCAGAGGTTTTAGCAAATAAAAACCTTAAAATTGAGCAAGAGATGTATATCCAGCCCACATGCGTCAATACCTATAGAACCTTCGTTCATTGAAAGCGGTATGCGTTCACCAGTTCACACAGCTGGAGACTCAAGTTTTTGCTTACCTATCAAATAACAATGAGGTTGGATGGAGGGATTACTAACAACAGTTTTTAAGTTTTTCCCAAAGATTCTCAATCATATTTAGTCTCACCACCGTCCATCTTCTCTTCAACACTGACCCGCTTCCCCATTCCTGCTAAAACAGCGGTTATCTCTACAGCATGATGCTGCCACCACCAAGTTTCACACATTCCGTCTGAATATCACATTTGGTTCATCTGACCAGAGCGCACTTTTCAAACTTTGTCTGTCGACATGGCTTGTTGGAAACTTTAAGCAACCTTAATAGCTTTCTTTCATCATTTCGCCTTCCTTTCATTCTGCTGTAAATGCCAAATGGGTGGAGCGAATGATGGAGCAGCGAATCTCTGCAGCTCCTCCATATTTGTCATGGGCCTCTTGGCTGGTTCTCTGATTAATGCGTTCCTTGAAATAATTGGTTGTAATGTGACAAAATGTGAAAGGGTTCAAGGATTAGGAGTACTGTATGTAACATTAAATAATACTTAATACATGTACATTACATATGAAACACGGTTGGTTAATGATGACTGCCATTCTTAAGGCACCGTCTGAGACATATGGCTTTCTATAGTTGTTTTGGACTCACACAAGAGAAGTTGCATTCAGTTTACTGTGACGGCATGTTAGAGGCATTGTAGACAGAAAAAAAAACGGAAAAGTAAGTTTTCACCAAAAAAATCTCAAATTTTTAGAAAAACTAGAAATTTTGAGTTTGAAAACACAAAAATTGGCTAAAAATTTCTGAGATTCATCCAAGAAATTTTCTTGGGGGAAAAAAAGGAATTCACTAGAAAAAAATTATGAAATTTGAGGAAAAACTTGGAAACTTCACCGACTTGCTAGAAAAAACTTTTTCTCTACTTTTTCGCAAATTTTCTAGAAAAATATTGGAAGATTTTTGAGTTCCAAAAACTGAAAATTTTCGACTTTTAAAACACAGAAATTTCGATGTCTTTTTTTCTCAAAAATGTCTGAGAAAATGTTGCCAGCAAAGTTTTTACTTTTCCCAGAAAACTTCTGTGCTTAACCTCAAACTTTCTGAGCATTTCCTGGTGATTTTTTGACTTTCAAGGAGATAAAATGTTGAGATTGATTTTAATATTCCTGTTTTGTGGTGAAAATGTACTACTTGGTTTTTTCTCTTCTATCTACAATGGCCCCAATATGTCATTGTAGTTTACAAATATATATATATATATATATATATATATATATATATATATTTTTTTTTACATTTCTCTGAAATCAAAATTACAAAATGATTTCCAGCATTCTATATTACTATTGATTTGCGACAGCATGTCTCTGTTATATATTTACCCTGTATGTAATCTAACAGTCTCTGCTTTGTGCTTATAGCTCAATAACATTCAGTGTAAGGGGTTTACTTACAGTGATGCGTTGCATCTTTGTACAGGCGGGTTGTTTTTCTTAGGAAGTCAAGAAGGAGAGTGAAAAATAGTGCATTTATAGTGGCAATGAAACACTTGCTGTCTTATGCAGGGCAACATTTCCTAAATCTCCAGCAGACGGCTCACTAAGGCGTTGGGTTTTACAGGGGACAGTCATGTTGGCCTCCAGGTCACCTCGGGTTCCAGACCTCTCCTTGACCTTAGTGCATTTTGCAAACATTTAATAGTATAAGTTAAGCTTCTCTTCCACTCCAAGATATTGCCCCCGTCTTTTGTTGCTGTCAAGTTTTTTTTTTTTTTTTTTTTACTTCCCTGAGCTCATCTTCTGCTGGCTGTTATATTTCTGTGCAATCCCATAAGGAACATGCGCGGCGACGGTGCCCATCTCCGCCGCTCCCTCCACGTGAAACATCTGGTCGTCGAAGTAGATGTGTGGCCGGATCTTCTCCAGCATGGGGCCCTTGGGGGCACCGGCGAGGAACATGGCCTCGTCAATCTCCAGGCCCCAGGCCCTGAGCGTCTTCAGCGCCCGGATCCCTGAGCTGGCCGCGCTGCGAGCCGTGACCAGGTACGTGCGGATGGGACAGTCCAGGCGTTGGCCTTTAGCGTAGAATTTCTTCTGCAGCTTCCCCAGAGCCTCCAGGAAACCCTTCAGGGGACCCTGCAGAGCGGGAGAGAAGATGGTAACTTGTTGCATCTTATGTATTCTTTTAGGGTGCATTCACATCAGCCCTGTTTTGTTCCACTTTAATCAAACTCTAGTTCGTCTTGGCTAGAATGTCCGGTTCACTTGGGGAGGTGGGATCACGCAAGCTAACAGTAGATATTCTGCTAGTGTTGAAAAAACTCAATTTCACAATTACGGCATTTCCAAAACATCCAAAATGCAATTAAAATTACTCATGAATAAGCTTATTTTCACATTAAAGACATTAAAATTAAAGATGTAAACACTTGTGTGACAGTTCAGCCACAGCTGAACCGTGGCTACATCTGTCAACCATCAGAGGAGACATTGGCGTCTCATCCAGATGCCAACGTCTGGAAAAGACGGTCTGACAAATCCTCTTTCTACTTTGGAGCGGCTACGTATGCGGCGCTTTGGGGAAATTGGAGTCGGCCATTTTACAAAAGAGCTATGGACTCAACACATTCGAATCACAAACTCAACTTCTGATTAACTGTTGCAGTGCCTACAAATAACCATGTTGCTGCTGTTTACAAAGTGGCATGATGCAAAAAAGAAAAAAAAGATGTTTCTATTGCAGTTTTGCAAAATACACACATTTTGATATGGCTGAAAAACCACCTTTTCCTTCAAAACCACTCCAAAAGCAGGAAGCTATCAACACCAAAGGCATTCTGGGGAATTACGACTAAATCAAACATGCGAGTCTAGCGCTAGCACCGGAAATGGCTCATGGTCTTTTGCCTAGACAAAAGAAGAAATCCTACATATACTGAAATCTGACGCTACTAAATTTTTGTTTACAAGAAGGAAGCTGTGCTCAGTGTCGTCTTCAGAGGTTTTTGTGTCATTTCCTACTGTAGTTCTTGGTTCAGCGCCACCACAGGCCAGGAGAGGAACAGGTTTTTCAAACCATTTGGATAATTTGACACAGTGTGAAAGTGAACCCCAGCAGCTGAAAATGTAACGAATGTCGCAGCTTTGGTCCTCAATCGAACTGAGTCTACCGGACTATCACAGAATGCAGCTCAAGCACACTATTTACACACAAGATAACCTGAATCTCAATATTTTTTTTATATTATTCTATGAAAATAATATATTATAGATTAAAGTTTGTCTACAGTTTGTTGGAAATACTTTTAAAAAAGCAACAATCTTTTTATTTTTTTTATTTTAACATCAGGTTCCCTCTGTAGCAATGTCAGAGACAGAAACTGTAAGGAAAGTTTTACAAACGTGATCCAGGAGTGTGTCCTCGTTCTCTTTCTCGTGCTCGAAGAACTTGTCCAGGCCGTGGGTCTTGAAGATGCGCTCAGACTCGTCAGAGAACAGGACGGCGTCGCCATCGAACGCCACCCTCAGCTGAGACTGCGACACCTCGGTCAGCTTCTCCGTCATGAACATGGTTGCTGCTGCGATGCCTGAGCGCAGACACAGAGAGAAACGGGATGGACTGGGCACTCAGCTGAAGGAAGTTCAGTTCATTTGCAGTGCGTTACAGAAATAGAACAGTATCCTTTAAGAATTGACAAAAAAAAGAGCATAACTATAGTAAACAAAAAGGTCATTTGCAAATGTTACTGAGAACCAAACTGAATACTACGGAAGCCCTGAAAGGCAATGGGCAAACTTTTTATTGATCAGCCTTGTTCCAAATCGGGCCAAGTTTTTCTTTTTGTCAGGACTTTAAAAGTCATTTAAAAGTAAAACAATAAAAAACAATAACATATTGTCAGAATCACTTGGCATTTTTCCACTTGCCCTTCAGAATTTAAGTGAGAAGAAAAACAAGACATAAAAACAAAAAGAATATATTTTCCACTTTGTTGGTTGTTGAAATGGAAGAAATATATTATAGTCAGAAATACTTAATAGAAAGACGCACCTTTTTCAAATTTTGCACATCATAATTCTCTTTTTAATTTTGTATCCTGTCTTTTAGGAAAAAAGAAAGTTCCACAAGGAGAGAAAAACTACTTTAAAATATTTTAATCTTGATTTTTTTTTTTTTTTTTTCGTTTTTTTTGCACATGAATTTTAAAGTCAAG